ACAAACGGTTTGTCTACTCATTGTGCATCCCTCGTTCAGAAACGTGGCCAGTTAACTTACCGAAAAGCACTTCGTGGATCGTCATTCTTTATTCGCACTACCGCGCCATATTCAGACTGGATTCCAGATAATCCAATGGACTCCACATGTTTGGCCAAGTCAACTGGGGTCATCCAGTGGTCCTCCAGACAGATTGACTGATCACTGTCACTATCTTCGGATATCTCGTACAGATCACCTTCAAGATCCTCATCATCATCATCGTCATCAACTTCGGCCTTATCCGCAAATAGACCGGGATCCACAGCCTCATTGGCCATGGAACTTTGTAAATCCTTCAGTTCGATATCCTTTTCGGAAGGCGTCACAGTGGCCTGACAATCACCCGCTGCAGACAAGTTACCAGGGGGGTCAACTGGAGGGGACTCATCTGCAAATGGAACCTGGCTACACCCATCCCGTCCTGCGTCTGTAGTTAAAGCCGAAATGGGATTCAGAACCTTCGGACTTTCAACAGGTCCTTGGTGAATGGAAGCACCATGCGGTCGGCCAACTGCCCATGTAGGCAAACACGCATCGGTCGGGGGGTGTGTTGGTACTGTAATAGGAAAATCAGAAGTTAGGTACGGGGGAAAAACAAGTAGAAATGACGTACACACAAGGTAAAGGTGAACGAACCTGTCGCATTATGGTCTGGGTTTTCAGCGACCTCATCATTATCATTATCATCGCTGTCCATACAGTCACCGTCAATACTGTCACCAACAGCGTTCATCTTCTTGCCAAGTCGGATGGTTTGATCACCGATTTCATCCTCCGCAAGTGGGGCGATTCCGTGTATACCGCTGCCGTCAGGCCATGTGCTGCGTTCTCCGGATATGGTGACTCCGTTGGATTTCGTCTGCCCAAGCAGGGCACGCGTAGACATGATACGTTGAGCGGATTCATTCGTCGGACTACAGTCAGTGGATTGTGTGCTGAACGCTGACGATAATCCGGCAGACCCGGTGGAGAAGAACGAGGTAGTTGAAGAGCATGAGGAGTCCGCACCCGCTGAGTTTCGGTACCGATTGGCAGCTCCGTGGGATTTCAATCCACCTAAAACACTCAAGTTGGTTGTTGAAGACTCCTCGGCAACATCAGTTGTCGGTGTGGTCGACTCCACCACCAAAGGAGTAGACAGGTTTTCGCTGAACCCCATATCCTTGTCTGGGAAACAATCCATTCGGCTTGGACGCGTCATTGTGGAGCTCGTGGTAGTCACTAGTTGACGATGCGGCGCATTCACATCATAGTTGGAATCGGCAGGTAAAATCAATCGCTTGGCCACCGATGGCGGTGTAGGGGTTTCAGCGTGGTCTCCGCGAGAATTTGACGAAATATTGAGATGTACCTCTGTCAAATTGATAGGAGAGCAGTCGCGGCCACTAGACACCTTTCGTTTAAACGAGCCATCTTGATTTACAGCGGACTCGCACTTGGCCGATTTGATCTAAAAAAACGCATGAGGTAGGAAGATGAGTCAATGATAGAGGAATAACCGTTCCTTTCAGTACTAGCCATAAGTTTGATAAAAACTCTTGAATAGACCAGTACCGGTTTGGCTCATCAGGTCAGCCTAATCTGCGATTACCCACCAAGCTCAACTCGTACATGAACATCAAATTGTTGCAATAAACCCTTAGTTGCCAAATTAAGTTCTGTTGACACGAGACTACTGAAAGTTGTCTGAATTTCTCCATTATATTTTTTTGTGTCATTAACTGCTGACTTCGCCGTTCAGCCAAACAGTCATCAATCCTCACAAATCACCTAACGATTACTTGAAATTTAGTCGAGAGTCAGAGAGGAAGGAGTGATCAGATCAAAGAAGAACTCAGCTACACGACAGCCCCGACCCTCGTGCGGTTTCGCTCGCTATCCGCTCCTACTAAGAAGCCACTCGAGGGGAAGCTCACCTAGCCGCATGCACTACGGTGGTCTTTCTTGACGGGCACATCACACTTTATCTCGAAACGCAAATATGGATGTCTCACCCAAGTTCACCAGACCTTCTTGAACGAAACTGTATAAATTTAAATACGGAATGATGGTATCCCGCTCACCCGTGAGGCGACGAAGCGAACTCAAGGAATGACTTCCCCTATGATTGAAACGTAATCGTACGATCTGGTACCTCCTACACTTCAAGCCGGAAACTGCGGGAAACTTGTTAAGTGTCTGACCAGTCTACAACCGAATGGAAAGAATAAAGAACCAGTAGGCAGAACCCTCTTTTTAATAGCAGACTAAACCACTGTCATCTGTAACGTTTACTCGTCCACACTAACAAAAACTCCTGATTGGCCTGCTGCTGGAAAGGCGCCTTGCCCATTAGTCCTCCGTTCGTCTTAAAGCTCCACCTAACTTTTAACCTAGGCCACTGACGATGCTTTCGTCAAAAAGCGTCACGCTGTTCAGCAGTTAGTCAGCTGACTTTTGCTCCAAATTATCTTAAACGACGTCCTTGCAGATTCACTGGCAACAGCCTACCAAAGATTTGGTTCCGAAGCAAGTTGTGGAAGATGTTAGGAAGACAAACAAATCCACTTTGCTAACGATTTGTCTTATATACTGAAACCTTGTTTCCACATCTCAGCCTCTCACTGATATCCCATTAGACTGTCAGCTCTTTTTATACTCTGGTTCAGTTGAATTCCATACCACCGAAGGATCCACTTGTTTGCAGCATAACTTCCTCGAAGTTGTTTGCCTTCTCTAGCCCGGTGATCTAACGTGTCTGACTGATATATTATCAAGAGGATATAACACTTTCTCCCACTGAATGCCCGTTTAGTGCGCCTAATTATACACTCTATCACTAAGTCCAGGTTATACCAAACCCCCTGCTATTTCGTGGGGTTCTAACAGTGTCGGTTTCCATCTTTTTTCTTTGCTTCTCGATGCAACCGTAATACCTCGAAATCTTTTGTTTCTAATGCGGCGACTATCACCCAGCTATCTTTTGCAGTAACTCGAGATTGACATTTGCCATACCGTGAAACTTTTTTCGTATATTCTTTCCTCGAAACGCCTATTTTCTTGTGCATACTCTGTCTATTGATTAGTTCGAAGTTTCCCCGTGTGTATGTATGTACGACGCTAACCGGTAACCTCACATTAACTCTATATGATCGGCGTGTATGTGAAACAGTGTGTACTAATCACATTTACACTGTGGACGCTCTCCAATAATCTTCAGATTTTTTCAAGGATATTCGAAACCGGCTGAGATAACAGCACCACAGTTGTTCTGAAGTGTTTTTTTCGGATCTATTGTCTACAACTGTGATGACATTTTCGAATGATTTAACGAACGAAGACATTCACGAATAGGAGTCACTGTAAAATTCGGAACACAGATGAAAGAAACCGATCGACTTTGTGATATCTTCTGGTTAGCGCACGTCGAGGGATTAAAATACCGAAAAATGAGCCATCTATACAGGTTAAACAGGGATAAGGTAAAGCCGCGGATAAGTTCCAAAACTGTCACGATCGATTGGCCTGAGTGACCAGCGCTCATGCGAGCAGACCATAGAAGATCCAACGTCTAGATGACACTGGTTTAGTCTCTCATGAAGTTCTAAAACCGCGACCAGCCCCATGTGTCCGAATTACAAGGCAACAAATCTAAACAAAAGTTTTCAAAACTTTCCAAAATGAGGCCCAATTATATTTCAAATTAGGTTCGGTCACACTGGACATATGTTGATGGGCAAGTAAGGACCTAATCGTGATAAACAAACGGAACTGGTTGACCGATTAGTCCTGTCCATACACAAAGGATGTGGGTTCCGTCATCGACAATCACTGACTATAAATTCATCTTCTCCTGTCACTTATACTACCGTCGTTCAAAGATTAGGCATCCCGTTTAAGACACCAAGAGGATACCGTTTGGCCATACTATTTCAAGCAGAACGATAGTATACAAGCTAACAACGAACACAGGATTCAGGGAAACACAATGAAGAAGTTTTCAAATCTGAGGAAACTACTACCAAAGGATGGTGACACAAATCGGCACTGAAGGCATACCACGGGAAAGCGATGAAATCTCATTGTACTCATTAAGTCGCAAAAAGTATCCAATCTTCGAGGATGCCTCTACTCAAACCCAAATCACACGTATCGACATACACATGAACGAGATAGAACCTAGATTAAGGTAACCGAACCACTGTTCCTTGGGACTACAACATGACTATATTTGGCCGTTACGATGGCGGAGACTATGCAGTTCGTGCGTGAATACATTTGCAGTCATCGGTACCATCAACATGAGTGCGCCTACAACAGTGAATCATGAATGAGGTTGATCGAGCCAGAAAGGAATGCCGGTGCGTCATGCGACGAGCATGTCACAGCTGTAGGTCCCATCAGTGGCCAGCTACTGCATACG